TATTGTTTTCTTACTTCGCATTGTCAGAGCAAAGAATGAATAAGTTTGGAAATTGTTCTTGTTTATTTTTTAAATTAATTTCTTATATCAATATACGGTAACGTCACGTTTATGTGTGAATATTTGTCGAAAATGGTTATAAGTTTATAGTTCTTATTTATAAAATAATATTGAGATTTATTTATAAAATCAAATAATGTAATGTAAAACACCCCAAAACAAATTGAGCTCAAGAAAAATTATCTACAGTTACTAAAATATAGAGGAATTACAATATCATTCTGTCCGATGATATAACCTTTTTCGAGTTTTGGTTTAATCTAATCTATCTAATACCTTTAAACGAGCACTTCTTGTATATATATATATATATATATATATATATATATATATATATATATATATATATATATACAAGTGATTACGTAAATTACGTGAATGTAATTTACGTAGTTTTAATATTTTTGGGATAAAATATAACCTATATAAAAAATGAAAGGAATCGATTCAGTAAACGATTCTGAACAAACTACTTTCTCATAGTGCGTTAATTATGTTACATGTTGTATATATATACCTTAAACTTTAACTTATATATAGGAAATAAGTTACAGAAATAAAAATATTTTAATGATGCGCCAAAAAAATGTGAATAGTAATATAAACAGACTAGAGTCCATCTCGACAGCGAAACCATATATACCCGCGTCCCTAACATACTTGGCAACATTTATCAACCATTTCCATCATCAGTCAATATAGGGTTTTAAGTTTGAACAGTAATATTGAAAATGTTTAATTACCTACCTACACCATAAACATTTATATGGCTAAATATTTGTTTGCACACAAAACATATCTTTAATAAATCTTTATTAAATCGTATAGTAACTTATTTTTATATAGCATCGTAGATTGCGTAAAGGATAAATTGTGTGTGTGAAATAGTTACAAACGAGCACACAGTCTACCTTAAATTAGTATACTATGCCTATAGTCACCTAAATTTACCCTTGATTAAGAATCAAAATGCAGATGCGTTGTCACCCCGGGCGAATAAGAATGAATGTGCCTTTGCCCTTGCGCTGCTATTTTACTACCCGTTCGTGCTTCCCCATATAACGCGAAACGTGGTTCTACCATGAGCTTACTCTATTCCTCTGTCCATGTGTGTACAGTCAGCAGTCAGCAGTCGATCGCCGTAATGGTGTCCATCGAAGCTGAGGTTGAGATTTTGGCAAAATTAAGGGCATATTACTCCTCATACCCATATCGCTTATTCTAACATAATTAATACAATTAATATATTGTCCACAGCACACATCCACGATTCTCTCGAGAACAATCGCGGGAAATGCACAGACGTGCAGAAATCTGGTACAAGACGTGTCATTGGTAATTTAATCAACAACGAGAAAGATTACTGGACCCGGCTCAACGCTATATACGACCCAGACAACAAATACGTGGTCAAGTACGAGACAGAACTGCGCAAAGTTGCTGCTTAATGAAACAAAAGGACTGATTAATTTATAAAAATTGCGATGTAGATACTTAGATATGTTTGGCAGTTCCATTTATTAGTAACAATTTTAAAATCAGAAAACATTACAGCAAATATAAATAATTATAAAAGGATAATTTTTAGTTTTATCATTGTCTTCGACATACATTGAAAACTGTAAGGTGTTGTACTAAATTAATATGAACAATTATATAAAACATTTGTTATAATCTTCTTTAAGCTATTGTTCTTATGCAAGCTGCTGTGTTGAGGTATGTACAACAATCCATTATCGATTTTATCATCCTTTTGGTGTCGTTAGGGACGACTAAGGCGGCTAATGCATGCTTAAAAAGTTTCTCGCAGTGGTCATGTTAGGACGGTTTATTTATTAACTTTACATTTTTAATTATTTCGGAAGTGTTATTCTTTAACGAAAACTATTATTATATTATTGAACTTTTATATAAAGTAAACCCGACTTCAAAAACTAATAAGATTAAAATAATTTCCACATACATAGAATTCGATGCTAAGACGTGTATCGAATAATTAAAACCCCTTCCGAAGCGATTATATGGAAATTATTTCATTCCTTTTGGATTATGCAGTTACATTTTATTAAAGGTAAAAAAATATATTACCCTTTTCAGAAGTTCCAGGTAAAAAAAGTTTTATATATTTTTTTATATTTTTAAAGTTTCATACCGTATTATGTATTTTTATCAATTACTAGCCATATGCCCCGGTGTCGCTCGGGTGATTTCTGTATCTCGACAACAGCGCCACCTACCAATCCAGTTGTGAATAGTTTAGATCATCCAGTGACCCACTCAAAGGCACATTAAAATAAATTATCAAAATCGTTCGAGCCATTTCAGAATTTCAGCGAGACCAACGGGCACCAACTGATTTTTATATATAGAGATATGGGAGCCCAGCTGAAGTATAATTAATTTAGTAAAAAGGTAACATTTAAGTTTATTCAGCCATTTAAGAGAAATCAGTGTTGAAGTTGAAAATTTAATTATAAACAGGTACAATTTTTACCCTTTTCAGAAGTTCGAGGTAACAACCAGTATGTCGTTAAAAAATTACATTAAAAGCTCTGTTGCTCATTATTTAATCAAATATGTGGGATCATTTCAGATATATATGCAATTTAATAAGACAAAATTATAATTTAGATATATTCAGCCCTTTCCAGGAAATTGGTGAACGTACATAAAATAACATGCGGTTTGAATTTTTGTCTCCGGTTCTCTACACTCACCATACGAAACACAGCAGCATTAAGCTGCTATTTTATGCTGGTATTCTGTGAGAGTGTGGTACTTCCCACGGTCGGGTCGGCCCGACCGGGGAAGGACCACGCTCTCACAGGATACAATCATAATATAGCTGCAGCGTGGCTCTACCACGTATGAAATTGTGTACCATTTTATTTTATCACGCGGATCGTAGCAAATTAATTTATCCTTAATACAATGAATTCTCGCAAATAGCTCAGCACAGTAGCTTTCTTTTCGAATTGTATTTCATTAACAACTTTATTTATTTATAATTAAATGTTAAATTGGAACATAATATAGTCTTGTTAACTTATACCGTTATATAGATATGTCTATGGGCCACAGCTTGCACTTACCATCAGGTGGATTGTGTGCTGATTTGTCACCCTTAATGTATTTTTTTTAAATCAGTTACTAATACTTTATACCACAATTTCATTGGAACAATTGCAAGTTTGCGGTTAAAAAACACCGCGAGGAAATACATATACGAAAAATTAAATATTTTGTGTAAGTGAAGTTCGTTAGTATCACTATGAAGCAATAAATTACAGTATATTCAAGACGACTCCGTGGGACAGTGGCTTAGTAATGAATAGTGGCGTTATGGGCCGCGAGTTTGAATCCCGCAGGGAACAAGTATTTGTACAAATAATTGGTCCGGATCCGGGATGTTTGTCCTTGTGAAATTTATATATGTAAACTGTTCCCACGATACAGAAGAAAATTCTAGTGTAGAGGTAAAGTTTCTAAAAATAAATAAGAATATTACAGTTCGCTACTGCACCTTAACCTCTGGTATAAATTGCCTCATCATTGGCAACCGCAATTTTTTGTTATTTTCAACTTTTTTGTAATTTTTTATATGAGAGGATTTCATGAACGGCATGCTTCTTACCTGGTGATAAGTGACTATACATACTTGGCTTGGCTTGACTATATATACTTGGCTTTTAGCCGAATTCTAGAAACAGGAGGTTTCTAGAATTCGGCTAAAAGCCAAGAAGCCCAAGTTTGTTTACTCGTAGCTTACGGCTATGGTCAACATTTCTTTATTCAGTAAACATATAGAGCCTTACAGATGTAAAAAAAACTCATTTGCTAAGATCCGCGCAGTAATATAAAATGATATGTCTTACCTAGTTTTAAGTGCACGTCCAGCCCTCCCTCAACTTTTAAGAAAGAGGTCAGCCACCTCAGAATCTACTTCACTTCAGGATACCCGTGTCGAAACATGTGCCGCATTATCGACAGTGGTGTGTCTTTCCTAGTGTAGTGTTGTTAGGAGTAGTGGTGCTGGGCTAGTGGTGACGGGGATAGTCCACGCAATTGAAAGTGGGTGCTTGATTTCCGCAAAGTACGAGTAACGCTTAATTCTATTATTCATATAGAACATTTATGAATAATTTTTGGTTTTGATGTAATAAAATATCAAGACATAAATAGCGTAATAAACTCTAGGCGATGTGGAAAGATTACTTTTGAAAATAGTATTTACAACAAATAGTATACTAAAATTTTCTCGAAGTATAGTTTGGCTTTGTAGACTAAAAAAACTAGACGAAACTATATAAAAACTTAACTGAAGTTATGAAATTTTGTTATTTTATTGTATAAAATATTAATAATTTTGGCTGCTTGTCGTCACGGAACGTTAAGTTACGAGAATTCAAAATAAAAAATAACAAATATTAAACCCGTTTCGCTCCTTCCGAGTCAGAACTTGATTTGCTATATAATAAAATCCTGATCTTGTTTATTCTCGTATTGTTTTATAAGAACTTCTAGATATTTTGTACAAGAGTCATATTTTGTAATTTAAATAAATAATTACTAATTTTTATTAACAAATCATTTCACTAAAAGTATGTTTTTGGTATTTATGAATATAATTTGTTTAAATACCATAAATTTTGTGTGTAAAAACAGTACACATAAATAATAAAAATGCTGATATATTTGTAATCATTAGTGTTAGTGTAGTTATAGTAACCATATGCCGTTTTTGACACCGGGCTATCTTTACCGGGTTACTTTTTACCTATTTTTACTGTTACATTAAGATGTCAAATGTTTTGTCCTTCTATGATGGATGTTAAATCCTAAACGGAGTAAATTAAAAATAAGTGAAAAATGAACAGGATAAAATAATTTTTAAGAAATTTTTACGCGGAGCATTTTTCGATAATTTGTTTTATTTCAGGATGAAATTCGTTGCATATATCCTTTTGTCACTTTTCGTTACCATTTCTCACGCACAAGTAAGTGAAAAATACACGAACCGGTACGACGATTTGAATATTGAAGACGTTTTGACCAATCGACGTTTCTTAGTGTCGTTCATCAAATGTGTACTTGAAATAGGCAAATGTTCACCCGAAGGTAGAGAACTAAAATGTGAGTATAATCATTTTCAGTATATATGTCCATAACAACAGTTATAACTTAGCGTAGTATAAACGTCCTTATGGTTTCTCAGACTGAGCGAGATTATTAAAACGCCAAGGGAGAGAATGAAATTACAGCGGAGCTAATGTAAGCGAGTAGAAAAGCGATACTTTATGTCCTCCAGAATATTTTAAAATCCGTCCTCTATGGTAACAACGCTCTATCAAAGAACAGTCATTACGAATCGGCTTGCACGCAATCATGACTACTTAGGCCCTCTCGAATATGCCGGTTTCCGAAAAGGCTTTCGCACCATAGACCACTTATAAGCCATATGGAAAATTGTACAGAAGACTGAAAAGTACCATCTACCATTATTACTTGTGCATTTGAACTATGAAAAAGCCCTTGATTACGCCGAAGTTTTACGGGTAAGATATTACGTGAAATCCTCTCGGCATGTATTCCTCAAAACCTCAAAACAAGAAGTTTGTATTTGGTAGTGGAATTGTGACGGGCTGTAATGATGATAAAGAACATAATAATAATAATCACAAGCTGTTATTATATTTTTTAATGTTTTACGTAGTATCATAATTATATTGTTAACAGTGCATAGATTGTACCTAGCAGTGGATATTGAATAATTATTCGCTCTTTTTCACATGGAAATATTCTATCAGTTATGAGAATTTTAGCCATATAGTTATGCAACATTTACATAGTTGCATTACCCTGGTGACGTTTGAGTTCACTACTGGAAAATATAATATTTGATGTCTTAAATTTCTCAATATACGATCAACTTGACGACTTGACTTATCTCTGTCTATTTCTCTGGGTAACATGCGTGAGTGTTTATGTTAAATAATAATAACTTACTTATTGGAATGCAGCAACGTAAAGACCAAAAACTCAGCATTATGCTGCAGCAAGCAGCGCTGTTATTCTGTAGGATTCATAAATGTAGTATGTAAACCGCTTTCATGAGACATGAAAAAATCGTACTGTGGAGCACAACAATTCATTTAAATAAGTATAAAAGATTGCGGCCGTCACCACCGTTATTTTTAAACGAAATCTGAAGTGCTCCCCAGGTGTTAAACGACGAAGGAAATTACGATGTCTACCAATGATCATTGAAGTCGCGAAGCGATGTTTTCCTTCTCAATCTATTTTCAAAAATGAGAAAATATTTGTGTCCTCTATGATATATATGAACGATTCATTCGAATGAGATTCAGCGATAGAAAACTTGCAGATATGGTCACAGGAACCTCAATAATATACATTTCACAAGCAAAATTTTAATTTCTTACTTGGAAAGCTTAGTTTTCTTTTTCACTTCGTTTATATTATTTTATTTCACTTATATAATAATTATTTTGCAGGTAAAATATTGCCAGATATTTGGATTTAATATTAATAGATAGATACAATACTCTAAAAAGCTTACAAAAAAACTAGGATTTGTTCTACTTATTTGAAAACATAAATTGTATTAAAGGTATTTATTACGCGTACTTTCAAAGCTTTTCAGAATACGCAAATACATAGTATTTAGTTTCCCTATTGCGTTACCCACAAATAACAAACTGAAAGAGTTCAGGCAAAACTTATAAGGCATTTGAATTATAGAACTCGCAGTAATTCCGATTATGTTACTGGCCCCAAAAATCATAAAGTAGCGTCCTTAGAAAACAGATATACTGTCTTAGATATCATATTGTTGTTTAACACTTTTACTGTATGATTTTAAGACACAATATTAAGACAATAGCAATGAACTATATGTAGTACATGGGACAGCGATGGTTTAATTTAGTCAATGGCTACCTGGTTCCCATTTACCATTTTTCGCTCCCATCATTAGAAATTCCTATTACGCAAGAAACTCACCTTCGACTCAGTATATAATAATAAAAAGATTCTCGAACCTAGATATATTTTACACGTTCAAAGACAAGTTCAAAGATAAAGTTCTCAAGCTTCTGCAGCTAATAACCTATATATATTTAGATAGATAGATAGAAAATTCTTTATTGCACTCAAACAAAAACAATTTGGTACAAAGGCAAACTTAATTCCGAAAAGGCATTCTCTGCCAGCTAACCTTTTGTATTGTGGTGAGAGCTATGGGTAGAGCCGCGAGAGAAAAAAAAACTTATTTATTCATACTATTCAAAACGTATTATATAATATTACGTATATGTTAGTTTATACATATATACACCTATACGCACATATACACACACACATAAATATATATATATATATATATATTTAAAATATATATATATATATATATATATATATATATATATATATATATATATATATATATATATATATATTTAAATAAAAATACATACTAAACCAATAAAAACATACAATATAGTATAGGAAATTATAATATACATAACCAATAAAATTCATCAAGTAATTTTAAATAATATGCCTCAAGCTTACGTTTAAACGTATTTATTGAAGGAGCATCTTTTAAATCTCGTGGAATGTTATTCCAAAGTGTGATTGATGATACCGTGAAGGAATCCGAGTAGTACGTAGATTTATTCATCGGGATGTTTAGAGTTTTGTTGGTCATCGAACGGGATAAGCTTAAATATAAAAAACGCTCTTTCAGATAGGGTGGGGAACAAGCATTGTGAAGAATACCATACAAAGTGGTTAGAAGGTGTGTGTTCCGGCGAAAACGAGTCGAGCCACTTAAGTCTTGAGCGAAATTGTGATATATGATCAAACTTGCGCAGACCAAAAATATAGCGTATGCTCAGATTGAGCAGACGGTCGAGTTTCCTAAGCAGCTCCTCAGTTTATATCTGGATAGGCAATATCGGCATAATCTAAAATGGGGAGCAACAGAAAGTTGACTAGCGTAACCTAGGCCATCTGAGGAATAAATTTTTGCCAGAGCTTTAATGAATGCATACTTCTAAAAATACGTCTCTTGACCTCATTAACCTGTAGTACTCAACTTAAATCGTCAGCCAAAATTAAGCCAAGGTCTTAACCTGCCTAAAATATTCTAAATCTACACCGTTTAGAGTGACCTTAGGTAGATGTTGATTTTATTTTTTATTTTTTTTTATTTCAACAACAACCAACCAAAAGAGAACAACCTTTTCAAGAATTTTGGAGAAGAAGGAGAGGATAGATATTGGCCTATAGTGGCTGAAATTAGTAGGAGAGCTACTTTTGGGAACAGGAATCAGGAACGCTTCTTTCCACTTGGTAGGGAAGGTACTGTAGACAAAGGAGGAATTTATTAGGTGAGTGATATGGAAAACTATTTAATCAAAAATCGGCAAAACCATGTCACGTCCAATATTATCTGGGCCGATAGCTTTGCTGGATATGACGGATACAATTTTTTTTACTTCACTATCAGTCACTGGTTCAAAACAGAAGGGAGTACAACACGGTAAAGGGAAAGAAGTGATATCTTTAATAGTATCGCTTTTGACTGTTGAATCCAATGAAACTGGCAAAGAGCAAAAGTGTTTGTTGAGCGCTGATAAGTCAAGGGAATGACTAAACTGCGCAAAAACTTCCATAAATTCTGGGTTGTGCAAGTCTCAATAGTATTGTGAATATGTCGGCGTTTGACATTTCGTATCACCTGGTTGCAGCGTTTCGTGCTTTTTTAAATCTTTCCCAGTTCTCATCACTGGGCAAACGTTTATGTTTTCTTTTTAGGCGGTCCCTACGTGCCATAAGTGATCGAATATACGGTGTTAACCAAGGTGCTGGTGCCCGTTTTATTTTTATTGGTCTTAAAGGCGCTACTTTGTCATAAGCTGTCATTATAATGTTATTGAGTAACTACAGTTTATTGTACAAAAGTTTTAATATTGCTTGATGCATATATGAGTTTAAACTTGTTCAATCTAGCATCAATTCGAATAAAGCAGGTGTTAAAGTCACCTATAAAAATGGAGTGGGAGTAGTTTGGGAGATGCGTCTTAATCAGCTGTTCCAATTCATTGAAATAATTTACAGAAGGAGGTGCATAAAATGCTCCTAGTAAGAAAGGTTTGCTGCATACCATAATTTCAATGAGAATTTATTCCACTGATTTAGAATAAACCTCGGGCGATCTGGAAACGATCGTGTATGGTATGTCTGACCGCAGGTATATGGCAACACCTCCACCACCCTAGGCTTAAGAAATTATTCTGATATAAGACAGGCATGAATAAGACTGTTTTCGGAAGTTGCAAGAAGATCTGAAAAGTGAGCTGGAACACTTTGTGCATTAATATGACATACTTATATTCAAATTTCTTCGGTGAGGCTCAAGGGCATTATTTAATATGTCCCTAAGTTGAGGTTCTGTGGAACCCTGGCCCGGAGAAAACGACGATGATGAGGAACTTGTAGAGTATTTTGAAGGTTGCAAAAAATTTCAATTCAATATTCTATGAGGTCTCTTTCAAGTTAAATTATATAAAGCATATAATTTGGGATAATAAGTTTTACAACTACATACACAACTGATAAAAGTTGTTAGTATTTATAAGTAATGATAGGTAATATAATTATGCCCTACAAGCAAAAGAAATGAATAATTGCATAAACTCCAATAGCGGTAAGTTAAATATCGTTTTAAGTAAAATATGGAATTAACTACAATAATAAGATTCTGAATAATAGAGAAAAAAAAGTTAATATATAAAGAGACTAATTTTACAACTTTTTTTCCAGGTTTAGACCATTGTTTGGAGGCCACAGCTTTGGAAGTTTCTGAATTACTCACAGGACATTCTGCCAGTTGGTCTAGAGAAAAGGTACACCTTGACCTTGCTTCTATTACAGAGCTTTAGATATATGTTACCATCTTGTGTCCAACATCTATGCATACCATGTAGGCGTCGAGCTTCCTTGAAAACTTCTCTCCTATGAGGAGTAAGAAATTCAGCAAGAGAAATATTACTTCCTTTCAAAGAAAGCTTAGGACGCCAGATATCCTGACGAATGATATAATCTGTAAACTTTACCAGCAGTGCACGAGGATTTGCTGTTGTGTTTTTTTCCAAACGCTAATATGAATGAATCTGGGTTGATCTAAATGTATGTATTTTTAATTTTGATGTCACCAGATTTACAACAGTGTCAATGCAGTTTTCTGTATCAGACTCTTCAATGCCTCGGATTAAAATAAATTTACACCTACTCCTGTTGTCAATGTCATCGGTCAATAGTGTAAGGGACTGAACTTGCTTTTTTAAGATCTCCAGCGCAGTCGTCATAGTCTCTTTGAACATGATAAAATCATTGGTGAGAGAAGTGATATTAGGTTGAGAACTTTCCAACCGGGCTCGAAAAGAAGACGTGCACTCTTCAAACTTTTTTTCAAGTGTTTTGACAGCATCTTCCGGTTTAGTTTTTTCAAGATTTCTTCTTCCAGTCATAGTGCAGTGTTGAAGTGTAGTACTGAAGAATAGTATTTGTAGCAGATGCTGTGCAAATCAATACATGTGCTATGGGATATTAGTCAAGATTTAAGATAAATAAGTTTTATTGGATTTTATTAGAAAATATACCTAAAACTTGTAAGTTTAACTATTTTAATTATTTATCAAAACAAGACCCACAAAATATGTTGTCACTCTTTGTGCACCTACCCGCGAAAAAAAATTACCTTTTTGTATGTTGTTTATTTTTGATATATTAAATATAATATAACACACGCACGCATGCAGGCACACACACACACACACACACACACACACACACACACACACACACACGCAATTTACTTGTTTCATTTTGTTAACCTTATTTTTACTTATTTATTTTTAATGTAAGTGATATAATCGTACCGGAAGGCGAAGTGTGGTCCGACCGAACCCACTGAAGTAGAATATGCAGATGACTCAGGATCGTGCTTTGTGTGTGCGAGGGAGGCCTCTATTTAGCAGTGAACTTGTGATCTAGAGTTGGACTGTAATGGTGATGACGAATGTGGGAGATACCCTTTGAGATTTATACAGGGAAACCCATAATTGGCTGTTATGACCATTTATGAATTATTATTAGAGATGTGCCGAATATGGATATCACCGAAGACGAATATTCGGCCGAAAGTTCGGTAAAATTTTTACCGAAGCAAATATTCGGCAGGATCACCTCGGTACCTAACCAATTTATGTAAAAACTTGTTACCGTAAACCGCGAGAGATCAGCGCCGGACCCTGCCCTTCTTTCATCATCTACTCGTAATACTGAGCAAATTGCCGGCAAATGCTTATGTTTTGACTATTTTTGTGAGAATAACAAGTATTTCGTTGTGTTATTCTTAGTGAAAATTAATAATTATATGATTAAAAATGAATGGCAGGAGATCTACTATTTGGACTTATTTTAGAGAAACTGACGACCAAAGTAAAGTAAAATGTACCAATGTAATGTAATGTTTCTTTGTTTGATTCCAAAAACATTTTCTCAAGCTTTCTATTTGCTATAATTGGAAATAAATCTACAGTGCCTCAAAAACATACCGCTACAAGTAGATTTAACCCATAAATAAAATATAGGTACTTTAAACAGTAAAGTTATGAAAGACATGGCATTACTCAGTTCGTACATTTTAATACAGTGGACACTTTGAGCACCACTTTAACGAATGTGTGAATATTCGTTAAAGCTGTCGAATATGCTGAATACCGAATATGAAACGAATATCCGGCCCATCTCTAATTTATTACCATTTTATATTCATAAAAGCTGTTGGTATACTAAGTAAATGAAAATAAAAACAATTTTAATGACAACGTTTAACTTCTTTTTTATTTAGCTCACATAAGAGAAGCGTTGGCGAATAACTGCGCTAGGTGCACTGAACCACAGCGTCGCAGTACTCTTCTTGTGATCGCTCACCTCGTCAACAGCGAACCCGATTACTGGAAGCAATTGACAGAAAAGTATGACCGTGACCACAAGTATGCCAAGCGTTATGAAGCTCAATTAAATACATTTAAAATCTGAATAAACTTTATTAAGTAAATATTATTGTCCTGTATTTCATGATTATATCAATACGCAAAAAGAGTTAAAAGTAAAAATTCATGACGGTGTGATTCTTAATTCAATTAGATTTAAATTAAATTTCATCCCTTTCTTGCATGTCGCATTTCAAATTTAAGTTGGTATATCGATGGGTATACCTCATACATATGATGCCCTATAAGGGTATGGAAAAATATTAAAATAGATAATTAGGAGTTAGTTGGTTTTCTCTTTTCTAACTGACTAACAAGCTAAAAGATAAAAGCTGATGATATCGCCCATATGCGTCTATCCTCCATTAAGAATGAGGACGCCTCATTGCCAACAAGGGTATCCAATTCTCTATATTCACCATACGAAACACAGCAGCTAATAAAAATAATCAGCTACTAGTTTACGCTGGTATTCTGTGAGCAGATGATATTACGTTATCTAATGTGTGATCATGTGGAGCACCGGTTTTAGCACCATAAGAAAAAAAGCATTATGCTGCTATTTTGATGGTGGTAATTTTTTAGCAGGGGAATACTACAGCTGCCGGGTTCTACGTACGCACATAATATTATTAATTAATATAATTGGATATCGGTGCTGCCTGCCCAGGTATATATTTACATACATCTGTCACGTATGATATCGTATACCGGTGGCAATCCACGGAGTCTTTCTGTCCTTTCCCATAGACGAATCTTATGTCACCCTCAAGACTATTTATTTATTTGGTTCACCAACAAATGTTACACTAATACATTTGCTTAATTCTAAGACAGTGATATAAACTAAGTGCACATTCAATAATAGGTAAACACCTACATGCACATGCTTAGTGCTCACAGCATTTCCTACAAGCCTTTACATTATAGCTAAAAATATACAATACACAATTTAAAAAATATTTATACAAAAAAAATTAGGTACTACCAAGAAATATTAATATTTAGATAAATTTTGTGTCGAAAAACGTTAAAAGAGTCGCGGTGAATATCTACTACATTATTGTAAGTATTTAAAAGTCTGCAAAATCTGGGTATTGGGGAATTAGATCCTACTACAGTTGTACGAAGGGGCGGCGAAAGAGGAGTAATGTGCTTACGAGGATATCTAATTGTGATACTAAAATTAAATTTACTTAGTAATAAAAGACAATCTAACTTATTTCTAAATATTTTATATAAAAGTTGCAAATCCAGAATATCCCGGCGTTTAGACAGTGAGACCATTTTAAATGTCTTTAATCTGTCAACATATGATGTATTTTTATATGATTTCGCGTAGGGTAATTGAGAAGTCCTCTCAACTGCGGATGTCTAATACTTGGACACGAAAATATCTCCGTTGACTGCGGACGTCCAAGTGCTGGACATTTTTTACCCGCTCTTTTAATGCCGAAATAAAGCAGTACGCACTATGTCTAACTAACTCATTCTACCATATGTCGATGTGTACAGGATAAAAAAGGTTACCATAAAAACCCCACAGTTTATACACTTTAGTAGGATTTTTTATATATACCATCCGATAAAGTCGTCCGTGCCTTGAGTCAACCATCAGTGTGACAGACGCGCGCTAACAACAAAGTTGTTAGCAATTATTTTGTACTAATTTATATTAATTGTGTGGTGAATTGTGTTAAAACAATGCCTGGGTAAGCAACCTCCTTATTTGTAATCTCATTTTGTGTTTTATCTCATTAAGTACATGTAAAATTGTTTTTTAATTTGTATAAAGCAAACCGCAATATTAGAACTAACATCCTCGTTGTGGAAATTTGACTTGAAATGTACTTAAAATTTTAGTGTTGACTGACTTAAAATATGTGTAATTGTTCATCATTTACAGTTTCAGTACATCGAAATGAGGATAAAGTGCAATATTTTCAAAATTTCAATGTAAATACGCAATAGGTGCAATAGTGTCCATTTCTGAGACGTCCGCAGTAGTAGTGAATTCTAGTTCTCTGTTTTGCGGGTGGCGAAAAAAAGGAACTAAAATTTGCCATACTGCATCACGTTCAAATTTGGTTGAATTGTTAGAATCGTAAAGAATCTAGCGCCCTCGAGCAGACCAACGGAGCTTGGTTGATTCCAATCTCTTTCGATGATTTATGCAAAAATTTGATGTGGCATTTGGATATGCCATGTATCCTAACACAAGACTTCGGAATTTTTTAAACAATTTATTAAAACAGAAAAGTAGAAAGTATTTACATATGATTTTTAATATTTTTATTTTAATATTTTAAATTTTAATTTTTTTTATTCTAAAATAAACAGGTTGTGGTTTTTAAGGTCACGTCAGACACATGTTTCTTATATCGGTTTTTTTAATGCACATTTTATCTGTATGTACATTAAAAAAACCGATACTTCGCGAAATTCATAAATCAAAAACAATTTTTAAAAAAAATTCTTTTTGATTTTCTTTTTTACGTACGTTTCAGTTTTGCAAATCATGTAACGTTGCGTTATATTTCAATCTAGAGCAAGATTGCTGATACCTACAGTAACATTCGTAAATGAATAGTACTGTAGATACATAAATCCAACAAGTACCAGGAGCCTTTTAAAGAAACGAGTACCCATGTTATATATTTATTCAATTTTATACTTATGTCCATCCATCCATTAGTTTTTATTGTTGCCTAGCTATAATTTTTTTCAGCTAATTATTTCAGACTATCATCGTTGAAATAGGTAAGTTAGTTAAGTTACAGCCTATTTACGTCTCACTGCTGGGCCTTCCCCTCAATTCTAAGAGGGTTTTAGGGCAAAGAAGTGTCCGCCGCGCTGCCCCTATGCGTGTTGGCGAACATCACATGTCTTCGAAATATTTTTTTTATTATTTCTCAGACAGTCAGACTTCCTCACGATATTTTCCTTCGCCGCCGAGCACGTGGTAGATCAGCACTTAAAATTGCAATTAACAATTTCATTGATGCCATCGAGGATCGAACCCGGTTTGCTAGCGTACTGTGAAATTTAAAGCGAGAGCTAACCATCTGAGCCACCGGGGCTCTTCTGAGCCACCACGGCTCTCATCGTTGAAATGAATACACCTTTTTATTTTGTATGTTTTCTATAGAATAGTGTGACAAACGAGCACACATTCCACCTGATTGTAAGTAGTTACTGCGGCCCATAGATATCTACATCTATCATCGATTACAAATGAAAATGCAGATGCGTTGTCACCCGTGGGGACTAAGATGGAATGCCTTGTTTGCAGTAAAAACCGTCTCCGGTTTTCTATATATGAAACAAAGCCAATATTAAGCTAATATTTCACGTGTATTCTGTGAGAGCGTAGTCCTTCTCCGGTGGAGCCGACGCACTCGTGTAACAACTATACTACTAATATAACTGCCGACTCCGTGGCGTAGTGGCTTAGCAATGAGTGGCTGCGCTGGGGGTCGCGGGTTCGAATCCAGCACGGAACAAGTATTTGTGTGGCCTATAAATAATTGTTCCAGGTCTGGATATTTGTCGATACAGGAGAAAATCCTAGTGTAGGGGTAAAGTTTAAAAAAAAAAGAAAAGAAAAGAACTGCAGCTTGGCTATACCACGTATAAAAAAATGTTTTAATGAACTAGTACATAATGCACAAAAAGTGCAAAATCGGACCTTAATTTTGGCATATTTTTGGAGCATATGAAGTGGGTTCTTTAAAAATATATATCCATATTTTTTTATTTCAGGAAGAGATATATTTATTCTAAATTTTATTATTTCGTAGATATTATTTGTGTTAAAGGAAATATATTACCTTTTTTGAGAAATAATGTTGTTAAGAATATTTTAGTTATTGGAAATATAATATAACCGCCGCGCACCCCGTGGCGCCTCTGAACGGCTTTGTCACTCGACACATATTATGGCGTATTGAGTATTGTTTATAAAAAAAAACGTTATTTTAGACTCGGCGGGAGTGACCCTTGAGTGGTTTTATGGTTTTTAAGGGAATGAATGAATCTTTATTTCTCTACAAGTGTTGTTGAAAATTGTTTGTTCAAATAAAGTAATTAATTTTTCAATTAATATGGCACTTACGGCTAAAATTTTGACATTGGCATTAAGAATACTTATGAAATACTTTATGAGATTTGTAAAACTTAGCAAGATCTATTTAAAGATGACTGAATCGTGTAAAGAAAAAGAGAGTTTCAACTAGTCCTGGAAAAAAACCACATGTTTCTTCATGAATTTATGTATATATTTTTAATGAAATAAAAAAAAAACTATTTTTATTGACTAATGCATTGATGCCGCATCTGGTCCGAACTACATTCTACAACGGTGTAAGTTGATTGTTGGCTTATTATTAATGCGTTTTATGATAAAAAATAGTATTGTAGCCTATGATTTTGCACATAAAATATTGTAAACAATAAATTAAAGATTAAAATAAAACAAAATTGAAGTATTAAAAAACTTTGTTTCATCGAGAAATATGACCATTTTGACTTTACTCAATATTTACTTACACTAATTACTTTGGGACTTTATTAAATTTATGTACTAGTTTGAAGGAAATTTCATAAAGAATTCAGAAATGTATATATACTATAGTATTTGATATACCAAAATCAAGAAATTTGCGTTTAAACGGATTGAGCCCAATGAGCCGTCAATTTTATAACTTATAAACAGCTTATAAACAGCTCCGCAGTCAACGGAGTATGACGGTTTACTGAAATCAGTATATATTACATCTATTTGCTGTTGCATGTTTACAGCTTTCACCAAAGTTTCAACAAACGTAACTAAATTAGAGCTAGTCGAACGAAATTTGACAAATCCATGTTGGTCATCTGTAATAAACTCTTGTATAAATTGTCTTGCATAATTTTGAATATAGGGACATACTAATGATTTAAATATATTGGGAAAGATTGATAATATTGAAATCGGTCTATAATTAAAAACCAAAAAATTCATCATCAGCTTTATGTATAGGGACAACTTTAGCGACCTTCCGCATA